ACCCCAAAGCACCCTTTGAAAGGCTAGGGGCAAACTGGGTTTGCAGAATCAGACTGGTAGCTGTGTCGTCGCTTGCTGACCCAGGTTTTCAGCTTCTTGTGAAACTTAGAACTACCTGGGAGCTTTGGAATCAAATTCTTGGATGGGCTTGCTATGGGAATCAAGTCCCCTGTTCACTCCGGTCCCCACTTGTCTGGAATCTAGGACAGTGTCCTTTGCCACCTGTCATCATGGCAGCGCTTGTGGGGTTGGAAGGTTAATATGCCCCAGGCTTCCAACTGTAGGCCCCGGGTCTCTGCACGGGTTATCAGCTGCTGCCTTAGGCAGCGAAGTGTGTGACATCTGCCATAAGGAGGGGGGTGAAGAGGTGCTCTGTGCCGAGATAGGGCACCTACTGTGTGCAAGTCCCCCAGCACTGGGAGATACACACAGTGAGATCCAGTTGTAAAGGACTCAGGTCCTGGAACCAGAAAGCCTGGTTAGGATTGTGATTTTACCCTTCCCTCGCCCTCAGTGCAGCTTTCTGGGGTTCCCTCCAGTATCGGAGCACCAATTTTCTCATCTGAAAAGTGGACAGAATAATAATGAATACCTTATAACATTGTTGGGGGGATCAGTCAATTGAAACACTTAGAATCCTAGCTGACTGACAGGTTATATTAAATTTTCAATGTGAAGCCTCCAGTAATTCCTGACCTCAGGAATGTAGAGCTCTGCTCCTTGACAGGTCTTAAAGGTGGCTGGGGCAGCAGCTTCTGGGAGCAGGTCACAAGCACGGGATCTCGGGTTTCTTGAGTCTTAACAGATCCTGGGGTTTGGCGGGCTAGACGGGGAAGCAAGGGAGAAAGGGCTGCTTCCAGGTCCCTAAACACAAGGCCCTGGGCTGTGTGGACAGACGTGGCTTTGGGACCTGCCCCCCACCCCCAGCAGCTGCCCCAGGGCAGGCGGAGCTAGCTAGCCCAGTAGGTGCCACAGGCTGAATGAAAGCTGGTTCCCGGAGGCCAGGGCCTCTGTGTCAGCTCCAGGAAGGGCAGTGGAAAGTGCTCCCCCTGAAGTTGAACCAAGGACAGTTAAAGCAGTGGAAACCAAAACAGGCTTTTTCTGAGAGAAGAAGAAAACAGCCATGAGAGGAATAAACAAAACCGCAGCTTCCTCTAACTGCTTGCAAGGCTCTGGAATTCCACCGTAATGTCAGCTTTCCCTGGACCGTGTGCATGCGTCTCTCTTTCTGACTTCCTCTTGGAGCTGTGGCTATGACCACATATGCTTAAGACCAATAGAGGATGTGCAGTCTCGGACACCACTGCTTAAAAGGTGCACGAAGAACACCCAGGAGGAGCAGTACAAGGAACCCAGAGAGCCAGTGCCGTGGAGGGAGGAGGATTCCGCTACAGGTGTGTTGGAACAGTGTCCTCAGAGGACTTTCAGATGCCTGTGTGAGCAGAGTCGTGGCCCTCAGTTCCCTGTTGGGGCCTGAGGATCCAACTGGCTGGCCTTGGCCATGTGGGGTGCACAGAGGGAGCAGCCTCCAAGCCCCTGGCTGAGCTGGGCACCCCACAGCCAGCCCCCAGGGCAAACTGAGCTTCCTTTCCCAGGGCAGATGAAGGGGGAGTTCTAGGGATGCTCCCCGCCTCCCCAGCAATGTATGTGTCAGCAGAATTCTTTTCCTCTCTTTATCACCTTGGAGACACACGCTGACTTGGCCAAAACCACTCCCGCAAGATGTGACTGGTGGTGCACGCATGGAAAGTCCTTGCCCAGTGAGGGGTGCGGTCCTGGGCCCTGTGCAGGCGCAATAATGACCCTCATTGCGCTGGGCCTCTTTCATTCGGGCACAGAGGCCCCAGGTGTGCAGCAGACTGGGCCAGATCCGATTACCGCCCGGGACTGAGCGCTGGTTGCCCTGGCTTGGGGACTGGCTCTGCGCTGGGGGTGTGTGGGTGGGGGCCTGGCCACTGGGGAAAGGAGAGAGGCCCCTGGGGAGTTCCTGGGCCCTGGCTGGACTGGGGTGGGGGCTGGGGACAATAAGTAGATTGGAATGCAGGCCTACCCTTTCATCTCTGATGTCACCTTGCTGGGCTGGGCGAGCTTTCTCTCTGTAACACTGCTTTTCTCTGCATGGGCATAAAGCAGCCCATCTCGCAAATGTCTTGTCTGTATCTCTAACCTCAGGAGGCCTAGGTGGTAGCTGTGCCTCAAGCTGTGAGCAAAAAGCCCTTCACAGGGGTTGAATTAACTTCAGAATCCTTGTAATGTAAGGACCTTAGGAGTGAGGTGATCTGAGTGCCCCCCTTTTACACACAGATGAGGGAACTGAGGCAAGGAGGGGTTAAATCCCTTGTTCATGGTACAAAGCTTGAAGGGGCTGACCTGAGGGTGGCAGGAGGTAGGCAGGCTCCTGGCACCCAGGCCGCTACCTGCCACCAGTACCTTGGTCAATCCACTGCAAAGCCTTCGTTGGTGGGGGCTTGGCTCACAGGCGGGGCTGCTCCTTGCCAGCTGGTCTGCACTCACTCTCTCAGCCAGCATTTGCTGAGGGCCTGCTGCAGTCTTGGGGACTCCTCCAGGAGGAAACAGGGAAGAGGCCACCCCTCCCCCAGCCCTCTCACAGAGATAAGGCTAAGTAGAGGGTAGAACTGAGAGGGAACCTTATCTCTCCAGGTCTTGGATGTGAGAAGTGTGGTGTCACTTCAGCTCTCTGGGGCAAAGATGGCTTCTCTGAGGCGCCCTGTGCTGAGGGGGCTTAAGGGAGGCTCCTTGGATGCCTGCCCAGGGAGTGGCCCCAGGTACCCCCTGAGGGCCGCTGGACAGGCATTTATGGAGCCCCTGCTCTGTGTCACCCCAGGTGGGCTCAGATAAGGTGCACAGCAAGGGGGCTCCACAGTCCTGCTGCCAGGACTTTCCTGGATAGCTGAGCCCCAAAGATGGGGACCCCTTAACACCCAGAAGTCTGCTGGGCAAAGCTACCCTACTGCATTTTCATCCTGGACTCCAAAGGAGGCAGCCTCCTTCATTGCAGCTGGTGTTGGAAGTGGCAGAGCTTCGCCTCTGCAAGTCAGCACTGGGTCAGGGGCAGGGGCAGGTATCCCAGAGGGCCCGTCACTTCTGTCTCCCCTTGCCCCTACTGTCATTTAGCAAAGGCTGGAGTGACCTAGACACCGGAAGTCAGTGGTGTAGGCACCATTTCCCCAGCAGCCCCTGGGTCCTGTCTCACTGCACACTCCCACGTCCTGCTCCACCCTCATGGGCACCTCCTTCACATCTTTTCTGGAGAGAAGCAAAGGGCAGAAACAGTCCCCCTTCCTATCCCAAAGTGCTCCGGCTAACGGTCCTGTCTCCTCCTCTATGAGGGCCACCACTCTGGGCCTTTTACGGCTGTGCCCTCCTGCTCAGTGTGTGCTTGGCACCGGGACTGGCTGTGTGGGTACAAAATGAAAATGGGGTGGGGGAGTCTTAGTAGAAATTGCTGTACGGTGCTATGCAGGGTGCAGGCCCACGTGGCTGCCTCCTTACACCTTGACACCCATGTGCAACAGGGTGAGTGGGTGCAGGACCTTGGAGGACCTTGCCCAGTAGCAGGGGACTGAGGCATCCTGCAACTTGGGGCCCAGGTGGGAGTGGCCAGGCCCTGCAGACCCCTGGCTACCTACCCAGGGCTCGGGCCACTCCTTTCTCCATTGTCTGCTGTGGGGTCCAAAAGCCCCCAGAGGGAGACCCTGGAGCCTCATGCACATTATGTCATACAGGGTGACCAGCCAGGCCCCAAGTGGAGCATCACCACAGTCCCCAAAAGCACCTTTCCCAAACTCAGTCCTCACAGTGCATTCCAAACTCCCTACTTCATGTAAGTGCAGCCCCAGGATGGCACGGCACAGGGCAGGAGCACAGCCCCCAGCTATCCACCAGAATCAGGCTGAGGCCCATTTTGCTCCATTTTTCCAGATGAGGAAAGTGAGGCTCCCTGAGCAGTGATTCATGTAGAGTCTGGCACCACAAGGAACAGGGGACCTTTCAGTTGTCCAGGCCTCTGTGTGAGGGAGGGGCTTACCCTGGAGATGAGCAGAGGGGGAGGGGCCAAGAATAAGGGGTGGGCAAGGGCTCAGCCTCAGGCCTGGGCCTGGAACTGCAGGTGAGGACCCAGACCCACTGCCCATGGCTCAGGCACAGCTATGTCAGAGAAGAGCAGACTGGCAGGCTTGGGGACCTGTCCCAGGCTGAGGGTAGGGGCAAGTACAAGGCCCCAAAGCGCCCCTAGAAGGTGGGGAAGCACTCCTCAGCTCACACAGACTTCACTGAGTGAAGGCTCTGTCCTCGTGGCTCAGGTTCAGGGCACTCTGGGCACAAGAGCCCTGGCGATGCTGGGTGCTCTGGGCCTCGAGGGCGCTGGGTCTCTAGTGGGGTCCACAGGACAGTGAAGGCCGTGCACTGCCACACAGTGAGAAAAGGCACAGGGAATACAGCAAGGGTGTGTGGGTTGGATCTTAGAAGCCACCTTAGCGCCGCTGATCTGAAGTTCCCGGGGAGAAAATGGCACTCCAGAGGCAGGGGGCGGGCGCACTGCAGGCAGAGAGATTGGAGTGGAGGGGTCTGCGTGGCTGAAGTAAATGGGACGTGGGGTGGGCGCGGAGGTTCAAGCAGCCTCAAGATCACCGCCTCTGGTAAGCCTTTCCCGGGTCCCGGGCTTCCTCTGCCGGCCACCAGCTCTTCCCTCTGCGGCCAGAATCCCACTGGTCGCCCAAGCCTCCTTCCTTGTTCCAGCTGCGGGTCTAGGAGGGCAGGACCGACTCAGATTGCAGTCTCGCATCCCCAGGGCGCCCAGCCCAGCACCAGCACCCAGTGGGCACTGGGTAAATATTTGTGGAGCTCCAGGGAAGGAATGAATGAACCCATTGGGCACAGCTGGGGGGGAAGGGCGGGGCCGAAGGCAGGTGGGAGGCCGCGGGCGCGGGAGGGGCTCTGGAAGCCCGTCCTCCTGCCTTTCCTCAGCCCCGGCCCCGGCGTGTCCCACTCCTGGGCTCCTGCGGCGGCCTCTCCTGCGATCGAGGGCAAGCAGGGCTGGAAGAGCAATCTTGGGCGGCGGCTCCCCGGGCCGGAGGTGGGAAGAACGTGGGTCGCCGACGCCCGAGGGCGACGGCGCGAGGGGAGCGGGAGGAAGGAGCGCTCGTCCGCCGCCTCGCTGCCTCGCGGCACTCGCTCTCCGGACTCCTAGGTTTGCTGGGTGCTCCTCCCACCCGCGCCCGCCTCCTCGCTTGTTCTCTCGAGCTGCTCTCCAAGCCCTGTGGTGCGTCTGGGCGAGTGCGGGGCGAGGGCCCCCGGGCCAGCGCCGAGCAGAGGGCGGGGGTCCGGGCAGCGCGCAGCCGGCCGGGGAGTGGCCATGTCTGGCGCGGGCGCAGCGGGGCCAGTCTGCAGCAAGTGACCGAGCGGCGTGGACTGCCGCCTGCCCCCCTCTGCCACCTGGGGCGGCGCGGGCCCGGGTGCCGAGAGCCCGGGACGCGGGTAGAGCCGGCGCGATGCACGTGCGCTCGCTGCGCGCCGCAGCGCCGCACAGCTTCGTAGCGCTCTGGGCGCCTCTGTTCCTGCTGCGCTCCGCCCTAGGCGACTTCAGCCTGGACAACGAGGTGCACTCGAGTTTCATCCACCGGCGCCTCCGCAGCCAAGAGCGGCGGGAGATGCAGCGTGAGATCCTCTCCATCTTGGGCTTGCCCCACCGCCCGCGTCCCCACCTCCAGGGCAAACACAACTCTGCGCCCATGTTCATGCTGGACCTGTACAATGCCATGGCGGTGGAGGAGGGCGGCGGGCCCGACGGCCAGGGCTTCTCCTACCCCTACAAGGCCGTCTTCAGCACCCAGGGCCCCCCACTGGCCAGCCTTCAAGACAGCCACTTCCTCACCGACGCTGACATGGTCATGAGCTTCGTCAACCTCGGTGAGTCCCGGCAGGGTGGAGTGAAGGGGAACACGGGAGGGGCCGCGCGTCTCTCGGGGGCGCTTCGGGACGGTGAGGGAGTCTCTTCTTACATCCAGCCCGACCATCTTTCTATTCCCGGCCGTTTGCAAAACCCCAGCGCCCGCGCGAGGGTCTCGCGTCCAGTCCCCCAGTGGACTCCAAGCCGCGCGCGCCCCAGGTAGGGGGGCGGGGCGCATTCGGCCGGTGGGGGTTACCAACAGGGGGTACCGTCGGAGATCTCTTGGAAGGTTTGCGGCCGGCTGCATCAATGAGGCGGAGACGCAGGCCCGGCCGCGGCTCAGTTCAAAGCGCCGGCTGGGTCATGTGAGCTATCCCCAGCCGGCGCGGCCCGCGACACCTGGATTTAAAGGGCCCTTCTCCGCGAAGCTGCCTTCCCGCCTTTCCTTGGCGGCTCCCGGCGCGGCCTGGCCCAGGCGTCGCGGCCGTCGCGCACCCTTCCCCGCCCAGGCAAACCCTACCTGTCCTTGCACCGTGCGCCCGCCTCGGCGAAGTGCCGGCCCGCGCACACGGGGGGGGGGGGCTTCTTCGCCACCCCGCGCCCACCTCTGGGACCTCGCTTGAAGCCGGGGAAGAAACGCTGCCATTGAAAACTTTCTATTTTAAATATTTAATGATAGGTCCCGGGCAGGCAGAATCCATTTTCAGCGTTTATCACGTGTGGCGCACAAACCGCGGGGTTTTGCGATTGGGTGGTGCTGGACCTCGCAGCAGACGCTCCCAGGGGCAGTTAGGGGACCCAGTTCCCGTCGGGAGCCACCAGGATCCCAGCGGGTAGGCGCGGCCGGAGCCGCGGCGGCTCCCAGGAACCCCCCTTTATCCTTGCGCGCACATTCGCCAGACTCAAACTCACCCCCGGCAGCGCGCTGTAGGGCTCCGGATCAAATATTTGGTTTTGGAGATAACACGCCCCGATAGCGCTGTTTCTGGGCCGCTTTCATTCTTCTTGTGTAACTTGCTGCGAAAACCCAAACCAAGTGGAAACAGCAAACACGCCCATGGGCTCTGTGTCAACTTGGAAACAATAGTGCCGGAGCCCGGCTCTGGGCACCTGGGGCGCGGAAGGAGGTTCCGGAGGCTGGGATCGGCCTTAATGCTGTCCGCTCCAGATAAGGCCCGCAGTTCCTGGGAGGCCCATTGTCTGCCGCTGTGGGAGATGGAGATGGAGATTTAGTTTAAATTGTACTGAGCATCCAGTGAAGAATGAAGCAGCTCTTGAGTGTCCAGGTTTAGATCAATCTTCCGAGATGTGTGAAGTGGGAAGAAAGCAACGTGCGGATCCGCGCGGTGTTTGGGCATCTCCTGGGTTCCACCGGAACAACACCCTGTGACGGGTTGGGGAGGATTACGAGTGCGGAAAGTGGAAACAGAAGTTTGATTTATTTCATTGTTTGTGTAATTTTTTTTTCTATACTGGGAATGAACCCAGACATTTCACACGGAACTGCATCCCCAGCCTCTTGGCTTATTTTTTGTCTTGAGACAGGTCTCCTTAGCTTGCTAAGTTCCCAGGATGGGCTTGAACCTGTGATCCTTTTGCCTCAGCCTCCCAGAATTACAGGCATGCTGAGCCACCATGCCCTGCTGTGAGTTATTGCTAAGTGCTTTTATTACCTATGGCAGAAACTAAAGAAAAGTTTGAAATGCATACCTATCAATACATGAATGAACACTGAACTCTGTGGCCCCGCTGAGGTGGGAGTGGGCCAGGGCCCTTTCTCTGTGGGGGATTTATGGCATCTCCAATTCTGTTCTTTCCCTTGACTCCCACTGCATGCAGCGCGTCCCAGCGGTTGAAAGCAGCCTGGCTGGAGTCGTTAAATAGGTATTTGTGAGCCCTGGCTTCTGAGCACTCCGCAGACCCAGCGCAAGGAGGGCCCTGATGCTTCCCTGCCGGCGCCATGGCCAGACCAGGGCTTCTGTCTCTCAGACAGGGACCCAGTGGCTCATTGGGTGCTGCCTGGAAGTTGGGGCAGGGCGGATACTCCCCCCATGACCTTGGGAGCGAGTTGAGGCTTGCTCAGGAAGGCCACAACTGGATGGCTTTCCCTCTGTGCTGCGCACACACCTTTCAATCCATTTCTTTCATCTTGAAAGGACAAAGACCAGCATGTCTGCGCCTCTTAGTCAGTCGGGCTGACTTTGGACTTTGTGGGACCCTCCTGACTTTTCCAGTCTAGCTTTCTGGGACATCACTCCCAATTAGACGGCAGAGTAGCTTTTGACAGAGTGCGCTGACCTTGTTTTCTTTCTCTTTCTGTCCCTAACCTCAAGGTAATTAGTTAGGGGCAGACCTGGAGTTTGGCAAGAGGCTTCCTGTAGGTGCTTCTGAGGGTAGCCTTTGATTTCTGTTCTGCAGCCGCACAGGAATTAACTGCCTGTCCCTTCTGCTGTGAGCAGCTCCGAGTTTCTCCATGGTAGGGATGGGGTGAGGGGGTGGGTGGGGATGGGGGCAGAGAGTTGGCTTTGGGGCTGGAGGGGGTGGGATTGGAGATTTGTCCAGAGGAGTCAGAGTTTGCAGAGGAAACAGTTTGCCCTTAAGCTGCAAACATGTTGATCTGTAATACACAAAGTGTTCTAAAGCTAGGGTGGTTCTCACAGTGCTTGTAAGAGCCAGACAACTTCACCTATTCCAGGGAAATCACTCCTTGGGACCGTTTCTGGAGACCTGAGGCCTACAGCTAGGGTCCCAAGAGGCTGCCTTCCGGTGCCGCCCCTCCCCCTCCACGTTCTTCTGCTGTGTCCTGCAGGCCTGCCTGCGTGGGGACCCGGCCTGCATTCTGAAGGCTTTTGCAGACCTGGTGCTTTGATTCATTCTTCTGTCTGCAGCCAAACTGGTTTTTGTTCCTATAAGTCCTCCTCCTTGGAATTCCAGCTTTTTGCCAGCGTGAGCAGGATCTAAACTACAGTGGAATTTACGACAAAACCAGGTGCTCGCCTGCAGACTGCACGTTGCACCTTGTGACAGAGATCAGCCTGTACCTTACAGCCTCTCGTAAGGCCACTGAGCCGCTCAACTGGGGCTTCCCCTTAAGTTCACTGGCAAGATTTATAAACTGGTTTGGATTAACAAGCCCCTGACTCCTCCATGCAGACTTAATTTTGGAATTCAAACCAGGCTACCCACTTTTAAATAATCCCCAGGCGATGGGGATCCCACAGAGCATCTAGCCATTAGCCCTTATCACTCTGCTTTGGAAAGCCCAGCAACTCTCTTTGGAATCTTCTAAAGAAGCCGGCTGGCAGGAGACATGTGACTCGGGTTTATCTCTGGGCCGGGTTATGAAGGGATGAAATTTGTGTAATCTTTGAAGCGAAATTAAAAAAACAGAGAAAGTTGGAAACCTATCATTATTGGAGGCAGCATATAAAAGTGGCTTTTGTTAATGCACCCGGAGAGTGGGAGAGGCTGTGCAGTTTGATTTTTTTTTTTTTAAACCTTATACCATCTGGCTACCCTTTTTGTTGACAAGTGTTTGGCATTAAGATCTCTCCTCTTGCCCCTTCAGAACAGGCCCTACCACTGTTGAGTATTAGAAAAAGATTCTGTTACAGTTTAAAAATGTCCTTCAGGGAGTGCTCCGCGGAGCATGACTGCAGGCATCTGCAGCTGTAACCTGGCTTGTGTTATAATTTGGAAGGGGCTGCTCCACATTCCAGCCCTGAGCGCGGCCCGCACTGGTAAGCAGCCAGAGGTTAATATAGATGTCACACAGGCTTCCCCTTCTTTCTTCTCTCCCTCTTGCTTTTTCTGCACAGCGCCTCTGCTATAGGAGGATACCAACAGCTGTGTTTTTAGTAACCCTTTCAAGATCACTTCTTTTAAACCTCATTTTCCTGCTTCTATAAATCAAAGGTCCCCCCTCCCCTTTCCCAAGGATGTATGTGACCCAGATTTGAACTTTTGGGATCATCTATACAGTATATTTCCCTTCTGGAATCGAGGCAGGGTAAGGCTGAACCCTGGATGCCAGCTTGAGTGGCTGTTTTTGGCTTTTATTCCAGGGTTGTCATTTGGTTGTGTTGTGGTCCCCATCGAGGGGTAAGGGAAGCGGCTCAGATAGAAGTTGCTTTGAGGGCAATGAAAGGTGGCAATTTATTTATTTATTTATTTATTTTTTGGTGGAACCGGGCATTGAACTCAGGCCCTTGCACTTGCCAGAGAAGCACTTATTCCACTGAGCCATCTCCCCGGCCCAAAAGGTGGCAATTTAAGTTTTTGGTTTTTTAAAAAAATTTTTATTTTATTGAGTGCATGGAAGAAGGCGGCACTTTTGAGATGTGGCTCGCACGGGCTGAGATTTGGGACCTACCTCGGCGGCCCTTGAGCTCTTGCCCAGACAAACACAGCTGGGGGACGGTCTCTGAGCACCGGCATACCTGTGACATGAGCACATAGCCCATGTCCACTGTGTGTGGACACCAGGATGACTTCATTGCAGGGACAGCCCTATCGCGGGTGACTGATTATCCGTATCACTTTAATATCTTGCCCTCCCCTGTGCGGTAAGGTCATATTTGGCCCAATGCGAGAGTCAGAGTGTCCCAGCACTGCCTGCCCCGCCCTTCTGCACCCTGCCCATGCGTGGAACAGTACATGGAGGGCCCTCTCCGCCCAGCTGCTGGCCACGGGTGTTTTTCTCTTTCTTTCCCTGTTCAGCCTTAGCTGGGGCTGTTGACACACGCATTTTGGCATGGCACTGCAAAACTTCGCCGTAATGTTCTCTGGCAGTATTGCGGGGGGTTAGGGCACAGGCAGGGATGTGTGGGACCTGTCATGTTATTGTCAGAAGGAATGTGAGGATTAGCCTCCAAGCGTGGTGGCTCGAAAGCGCTCCAGCTGTGTACACTTATTATAAAAGATTTAAGTCCCACTGGTAAAATCAATATATTGAGTTGCATAGCCCTCTGCTTTTAATTAGTTTAAATCAAGTGCGCCGGTCCCATTTTGCCTCCTCTGG